TGGTAACTTTCTCTTCATTGATACCAAAGGCTGCTAAAAAACTACAGAATCCCTGTCAGTCACGATAGGCTATTTGGACTAAAGGCAACAAATATTTATTCAAAGTCAAATGTAACTCAGACACTGTATGCAATAAGCAATGAAGACAGTGTAGTTAATAAGCAATGCCTATAACTCATTCTACTGGGACAAAAAAATCAAGTAGCTTGGATAGAGTAAGATGGACACTATTCAAAACTTTTTGTTAGCTTTAAGGCTTTTTTATTTTTATGCATTCATTTTTTGAAAAAGAAGTATTTTTATTAGTACTTGTCTCTCAGGATTTCATGGAGCTGGCAAAGACCTCCCAGAGGCAGTATTCCTCCCTCCCAGATCTTTCCTCTCCAGTTTCTTCCTTATTCACTGAGCTCAAGAGCCTGGCGCAGAGGCGAGAAAGGAAGGAGTTAATGAAGCACAGGGGAAGGAGAAGGACCCTAGGGAGGCAGGTGGAACAGCCACAAAAGGGCCCCACAGCACTGGCCAAGGTGGAGAGAAGCTGCAGTGCACAGTGCCCATGATCTGTCCTCTGTTGGCCAATATCTTCCTCACTCAACAGGTGTTAAACTTACACTGCAAAATCTACTCATCCTGCCTCCTCCATCAGAGCTGCTTCTTCCTGATCTATTCCTACCCTGACTACTGTGGGTTGAGCGCCATTTCCTCTGTCATTTCTACTTCCTAAAACCCCAGGAACAAGATTCTAGAGAAAACCCCACCTCTGCAGCTACTATCATTCTGGATCGTCGAGAGTAAAAATGAAAGGACACAAAAGGCAAAGATTTGTTTTCTTGCTATCACCACTCTTTCACTGATGCTCTCCAGCCCCAGCTTGCACTCTTCACCCATGCAAGTTCACTACTTCAACATGAAATTTAGAATGTAAGTGCCCCACACCCCCGACCCACCCCCTGCTGGGTTTCCTCCTGCCTCTCCAAACTCCCAGCTCCCCTCCAGGTCCCCCAGACCTCCCATTAGTTTCTCCCTTTCTTCACACTCTGCCTACCCACTTCTTGGAGCACTGGCTTACAGAATGTTAATGCTGGGAAACATTGTATCTATTCTTCTACAGCTGAGAAGGTTGAGGCTTCCAGGTTCCCCCTCCCCATTGTCAAGGACAGGACACCTTGATCCCTTGATCCCCACCCAACTTGGGTTTTCTCCTCAATTACAGAGGCTGAGACTGATGCTACCTGACCTGACAAGAAGAGCATTCACCTCAGCTCTACTCTCAGCTGAGCTCCAACTGGTCAGCTCTGGCGTGGCAGCCACTGCAGCAGTCACCCTACCTCATTACCTCCTCACCATCGCTAGCCCCCATTAACTCCATAATCACTGTGAGGGTTTTAAGAACAAGGAATTCTCTCATCCCTGCTAAGACTAGAACATAATCACCCATCCCAAGCCCACCCAGCAAAGGTTATCCTCGTGATCTTCCTACCCTCACTCCAGTGTTACTCCATGGATGGGTCTGTGTCACTGTGACATCCCCCAAATCTGTCCTTCTGGCCCTCTCCGGTCAGGATTCATGCCCACATGAACCCTAGAGCTCCATGCCCACAGGATGGCAGAAACTCCACTGAGCAACTCCACCTTCCCACGCCCAACCTTCTTCATCCTGACTGGCATTCCAGGGTTAGGGCGTGCCCAGGCCTGGCTAGCCCTCATGTTTGGGCCCATGTACCTGCTGGCCCTGCTGGGTAATGGGGCACTGCTCACAGTGGTGTGCATGGACTCCTCACTGCACCAGCCCATGTTTCTACTTCTGGCCACTCTGGCAGCCACAGACCTGGGCTTAGCCACATCCATAGCCCCTGGGCTGCTGGCTGTGCTGTGGCTTGGGCCCCGACCTATACCGTATGCTGCCTGCCTGGCCCAGATGTTCTTCGTGCATGCACTGACCGCTGTGGAATCTGGTGTGCTTCTGGCCATGGCCTGTGACCGTGCTGTGGCTGTGGGCCGCCCGCTGCACTACCCTGTGCTAGTTACCAAGGCCCGTGTGGGCTACGCAGCTCTGGCACTGACATTCAAAGCTACAGCAATCGTTGTGCCTTTCCCTCTGCTGGTGGCACGACTTGAGTACTTCTGTGCCAAGACTATACGCCAGGCCTACTGTGCACACATGGCGGTGGTAGAGCTGGTGGCGGGTAACACACGCGCCAACAACTTGTATGGGCTGGCACTCTCGCTGGCCGTGTCAGGGGTGGATATTGTGGGCATCGCTGGTTCCTATGGGCTCATTGCCCATGCCGTGCTGCGGCTGCCTACCCGGGAAGCCCGCGCCAAAGCCTTCGGCACATGCACTTCACACATCTGTGTCATTCTGGCCTTCTATGTGCCCGGTCTCTTCTCCTACCTCACGCACCGCTTTGGCCGTCACACTGTCCCAAAGCCTGTGCACGTGCTACTGTCCAACATCTACCTCCTGCTGCCTCCAGCCCTCAACCCCCTCATCTACGGCATCCGCACCAAGCAGATCAGGGACCGACTCCTGGAAATGTGCACACTCAGGAAAGGCCAGTTCTAATGGACAAGGGCGCTGGTGGAGTCTGCAGGTAAAGGAGGGGGCGGGCGCCTGCAGGATGCTGGCAGTGGCTCTGTGTATACAGGATCATGATCATCACCAAGCAGATATTTTCTGTGAAGCTGTGACTATGCACCACTGGCATCTGTACACCTTGGCCCGGCCATGTGTGCTGAGGAGGCAGAAGGCAAGGGGCTGCCCACTGCTAAGCAGGAAAACGGAGGACTTAGTTGGGACCACAAGTCAGTCAGTTGAGGGACATCTCCTTTTCTCAGCCCACCCCTCATTTCTCCCTCAGCCTCCCTAAGCTCCTCTACAGATCCCAAGCTTGGCGCCTGGTGCTGTCGGGAGGTGGCACAACCGCTGGAGGAGGAAGCCCGACTGCCTGTCTGGGAGCAGAACCCGTCCTGCTCTCAGAGTCAAGAGCTCTTCTCAGCTGGTCTTCAGGAAAGAAGTTACAGAGGGTTAGGCCCCACGTCTGAGAATCTGGATGTGACTGAGGTCAATCTGGCCAGAATACTGTTTTATGCTTCAGAACACTATTAAGACATGCCCAATTCGGTCAACCCTCTTGGTCTCATGAATAATCACTATTTCCATCCCTAAATCCCATCAAGCTTCAACAATCAAAAGCTAGGGGCCGGCCTGATAGCTCACAGATTAAGTGCCTGCTTAGGCAGATGCAGGGACAGGGGTTCAATCCCCCACATGCTGTGCAGGCTCCACCCTTGGGGTGCACTAAGACAGCAATTAAGACTGGGCATGATGGCACACGCTAGCGATCCCAGCACTTGGGAGGCTGAAAACAGGAGGATCACTAAAAGTCCCATCTGTGAAGTGAGACCCTGTACTAAATACATAAAAAAAAAAAAAAAAATTCAAAGGCTAGTCTCTGCCTGGGTCTGAAGCTTCAAGAGTAGGTGTCCCAGAAAACATGCTGCCTGGGGTACCACCTACTTGTATGACCTCTTCCCAATCTCCTTCGTGTGTACCCCCTACCAAGAATGCACCATCCCCAAGTGAATTCCCCACCAGTACCCTATCTGTCTTGGTCAATGTTAAAGCACGATGTTGCAATATGATGAAATAAGCGTATTTCACATGGCTGCAACTGCCAGAGGAAAAAGGTATTAAACAGGAAGTGTCATGATGTTGCCTTAAAAGGATTTTCAGCATGGACTCCACAGTAAAAGGAACAATGTATAGAGGGTCTTTCATACCAGCATGAGTTCAGAATCTCATATGGAAAGTGGAGAGTCACTATTATGCAAAGCATGCTGCAAGCTGCACAGGCAGACCCCTAGCTTTCCAAGAAAACTTTCATAAACACAGGTAGCCATGAAGACCTAGAGCCAGGAGCAACCCAACCCACTAAATTCAGTCAGCTGGACAAGCACCATAGGACACTATCTAGAAGAAGCAACTGCAAAGCTGAAAATGTAGATAAAGCCATCTCTAGGACTACATGGAGTCTGACTAGATCCTTATCAATAAGAACTGAAGAGATAGCAAACATCGTCTGCATAACCATGGGATGTTACACTAAAAACAAGTAGACAAGAACACCTAAAATCAATGCAGTATGGGTTCAGTCAATCTCAAAACTAATTTTTTTCACACAGTTCTCAGTTTAAATACAGTTCCCCTCCAAGCAATGATTTTGTGAATAACGGACAAAACAATAATCTGAACAGGTCTTAAGTCTTTAACTATCATATTCTTCACATAGTGATTCCTTTTTAATAAATATGTATGCTGAAAGAAATAATCGAGATATGAACAAACATGTATACATCAAGGTATTTATTACAACATCATTATAAATATAAAGAAATTCTTGTATGATTACCCCATGTCACACATACACAGCTTTTGCCTTTCCCCTCTGATACATGAAAAGGGAACTCATGTGCAACCAATGTTTACAAGCAATGAATTCTGTTCCCTTCCCACCACAGGAAGACTCTTCTAAGGCACCTTCATCCCCCAGGTGTGCAGAATCCCCCAGTAGCTGGTTCCAAAAATGTTTGTTGTCCATTGCAAGGATTTTTCTTTCTTCACCCCCAAAATCTATTCTCTTAGAGGACATTTGTATTATGTTCTGGACTGAGATTTCATACATACCATGTGATATGTTTAGAACAATTTACTGGCCCTCTCATTCTTCATTTCAACCTGAGAACAACTATAAACCCGCAAACCCATTACCTGCAATTGCAAGCTTAAAAACCTCTGATGAAATAGTTTTCTTGTCACATTGTACCCAAAATCACCTGATTTCAAATAGTATGATACTATTTACGGTCTTCATCTAATTTATTGTAAACACTCTTACATTTAACTTAAATGTTGATGTATTTGATTACAGGACACTGCCCTGAATCCCACCAGGGTATTCCTTAATGTGTTACATATCATATCATTATGATTATCCCTGTAGCCTGAGAGAAGTGAAGAGACTTGGTAGAGCTCTTTATCCCGCTAAAGTCTTTGCTACTTCATACTTTTCTGTATTACCCAGGAAGTTTGTGCAGAGAACTGCATGTTCTCAGGATGAACAGCTGCACTGCTTATGCTCTGGGCCTCTCTCTCAAGGAGACCCCAGAATGTGCCACATCAGAAGCGAATCCCAGCAGCAGGACGTGGCCCAAACAGCCCACCCCTTCAGCTCACCAACTCCATCCAGGACTCTGAAGTCATCTGTTTTCCTTCAATAACTTTCAGTCTCAGAATCTATGAGGCCAAAGGAAAGACAGACTTCTTCAATGTCGAGAGAGCAGTATGGAATTTAGGAAGTCTAGAAATCAGGGCAATCAGAAAGCAATAAAAGAAAAAAAGACAGAGGGTATAGGATTCTCGCTGAGTAGTTCATTACCCAACTGCCTCTCTGAGCCCATGTCTGTGAACAAAAATACTACAGGATTTTCCATCTACTGTCACTAACAGCCCACTGTCCCTGCCTCTATTTCATCTACCCCTTCTCATGCTGGATTCCCTTTGGCATCTACGTGTGCATCATTCTGTCTCTGTTGACCACTCCCTCTTTTGTCTCTAGCCCTATTTCCGCCTCCTTGCAATGTCTGTTTTACCCCATACCTATCTTCTGTCCCTGTGTATGCCTCTCTTGTGTTTTTTGTCTTTTTTCCTCATGCAGAATTCTTTTCTAGAGATAACACAGGTGCCATCTATATTGCACTAAGTAACTTCTCCTTGTGAACCAAAATGAACACCAGGCTAAAGGGGCACTAAAAAGAGGAATTTGGTTTCATCTGTCATGAAAAACTTGAGGTTTCTCATTTGGGAGGCAGGGGCTTCTCCCTCATCCTGCCCACTTCCTTTCTTTCAGCCGCCCTGTGCTTTCTTTCCATCTAGCACACGCCTCTCCCACCACACATTAAAGCAGAAGGAAAGTGTTCATTTCTCTTCTACCAAAAGGAACTATTGTTTAATGGTTAAAGCTGGAATCAAAATTAATTTGAATCCCTCTCTATTAACTCGCTCTATGACCTAAGCTAATTTTTTAACTTCTGAGTTTTTTCTTTCTTTACTTGTAAAATGGAATAAAAGTACCTACATCAAGAGCTCCTAAAAGGATTAACTAAAATATATGACACAGACCAGTACATGGCACAGACCCTCGCAGAGAAGAGCTCCACAAATACTTGGTATTAATTTTTCTCCTGAAAAACAAGACACAGCCCACTGACATTTGACATTCACACATACAGAACTACACCCAGAGGCCAGATACATCTCCTTTAGCAAAGTTTTCTTAACATCACTGTTTCCCACCACTGCAGAACTGCTGCTGTCTCCCTCACACCCTCTCACGCAGTTCAAATCACAGTCAGCATTGTGGGACAGCACTACATTCTGGACCGAGCCAGGACAGGATACAGCCTACACATACACAAGAACTCTTCCTGGGAACAAAGGAGGCCCTTCGAGGGGCTGAGAGGACTTTTTAGACAGATAAGGTACAGTGGGAAAGGAACTCCTAGAAAGGCTAAGCCAACTCAATAAAACACCACACAGAAATTTCTATATAAAACACAAGGGGATATAACAAACTGGAGTTGAAGAAACAGAAGCTACTAAACAAAAATCAGCCTGGGACAGGGAACTGACTGTGAACAAAGTTTTCCTCAATTTTACCTCAGTAATTCTGGTTTCCTGAAAATTCTCTTCCGTTACTAAGGCAACATCATCTCAATTAGATTTTTACCCTCCACACTGTCCCTGCTCAGCATGGCACCCTCCTACACACACACCTGCTTTTCACTACACTTATAACCCACCCATTAATAATGGGTTCATCCTAAACTACACATTAAAATTGCCTAAGAAGCTTTCAGAAGTTGTGATTCCCAGGCATATCTCAGAACAATGAAATGAGAATCTCTGGAAGTAGGAGACAGACATCGGTAATTTTTAAAGCTCTCAAGTAAATTTCAGATGCAGTCAAAGATGAGAATTGCTGAGTTCTCCATATAACTCTATACTTTCATGTCCTTCAGAACCCCAATTCAACCTCACAAAGATTTCAGTTGCTAACTGGGTTAGAACTGCAGTTAACTGGGCAGTAAATTGCTTCAGGGAGGCTACTAGAAGAGACCTAATCCTTCCCCCAAGGAACACAAAGAATTACACACACACACACACACACACACACACACACAGTGCCACCTGACACCCACATTTTCTTCCCCTAAAGCAGGTGACTCAAGACTATGAACCACAGGCTGTGATGAGGCTAGGAAATTTACTGTCCCCAAGACATCACCTAGCAGTACCTCTATGACCTCATACTGCCGTACGTCAGAGCCCAAGGCAGAGGGCCTCACCAACAGGACAGCCTGGGGTTCCTGCATCAGCCACTGCTGTTCATCATGTTTGTTGGTACCCCCCAGCTGCTAACACTGGATGAAGCTGATGCCACTTGGACCCTCATCAAGGATAAGGTTGGTAACAATAATGGCTCTGAACAGTTTGTGAGTAGGAAGGGGTGGGAAATCTAAGACAACTGTAATGAACATTTACTAAGTACCTGTTTATGTGTTAGGCACTGTGGCAAAGTGCTTTACGCAGCTGCCCCACTCAATCACAAGTATATTGAAAAAGGCTCCTTAACGGGCAACATATAGAGAGCTATTAAGAGGATAGAGAAGAAGCCACAAACCAAGTAATTGGACTTAAGAGGTCAAGAAGGCTTCCTGAAGAATAACATTCTAACGAGAGATGGGAGAATTATACAAAAAAGGGGACAAGAGTAACTGGCAAATAAAAGGGACATGATAAACACCTGTATACATTAATGAGCAGAGTGAGCAGCATACTAATTAAAGGTAGAGCATATGCAAAATCCGGGACAGAAAATATAAAAATGTGTACTTCCAGATCCCTACAGTCTTCTAGAGCTAAATTCTAGTAGTGAACTAAGGCCAAGAAATATAAAGATGACGAAAGGCTTTTAAACATCCTATAGAACCTGGACTTTACCTTCAACTCCTTTCACAGATATCCCGACCACCTTAATTCCCACAGTGAGAAACTGGAATTGGAGCCAAATATGTAACTTCAAAAACCAGAGATCTTGCCCTTATCTGGGTTGCAAGTATCTCACAAATCCCATCAATTTAATTATCAGCTATTGCATAGACAGCAACAAATTTCTCAGTTTGGAAGCTTTATGGACGAGGTTCTGGCTATATTGATCTGAAGGCAAACTTCCTTAGAGCATTCACAGACGGTATCCCACTAAGATTAAACAACCGTCTTAGGGCAAACTTAAGCAGCCTTTATGACATATAGTGCCCGGTCCTTGGAAAGCTGCTCATCACTGAGACCAGAGAAACAGAAAAAGGAGAGTCAAAAGTCTTGGTGTTTATTTGAGTAACTGGTTTTGGCACTGCAGATGTTCAACCAGGATTAGACCAATTAGAGTTAGGATGAAAGTAAATGTACTCTCCCTCCATGAGAAAACTACCTGAGTATGGAGGAACTCACTCTACTATTTCAACAGAAAATTAGGGTAGAAATACGCAGGATAAATTACTGATGATGCATTGCAAATTCAAGGAGGGCACCTTTAAAGACCTGATTTTCTATCACCAACATTGCTGACAATTTATTGGGCAAAATATTAGGCTAAACAGAACGTGGCTCAACTCCTCACTCAGAATCCAAGGTAAACGAAGAAGATAATCTTCCATAATCACTTTCCTGGCCATGTAACCCATCTTCTAGGAATCATCTCTGAGGATTCCTTCTCCAACAACTCAGGTGACCAATTTCTACTAATTCTACCACCTAAACCTTTCTAGAATCCTTCCTGCTCCCCACCTTCATTATTTCAGCTTAAAAGACCTAACATTTTGCCTGGAGTATTGATGCTCTTACATAATCAATCTCCTTTCACAGATATCCCGGTTGCAGGTGTGTCTTTGTGTCTAATAAAAAATCAGCTTCCTAAAACATTTACTTGATCGTGTCCCTACTATCCAAAACCCAAGTGGCTTCCAAGTGCCCTCAAGATAATATTCCAGTCACTTACGAAAGACATATGAGGCCTTTCATAATCTTAATACTTGTATGCCTTTCCCTCTTCACACCTAACGTCTAAGTTATATGAAATTATTTGTTCCTAAAATGTGTCCCTCATAGTTGGAAAGTTCAGGTTTCTTCACTAGCTATCCAGTCTGCCTGGATAATGACATTTTCCTACTGGTACCTTTCCCTTTCCAAGTACAAGTACTACCATCTAGAAACCTCCCTCTATCAAAGATAAAGGCCATTAAATCACTTCTTGAGGGCTGAGGAGATGGCTCAGTGGAATAAGTACTTCCCTGGCAAGCACAAGGGCCTGAGTTCAAACCCCAGTTCTGTAAAAAAAAAAAAAAAAAAAACTTGTTGGATTCTTTACACCCTACTATTACTTAGCTAACTACTGCTTATGTTCTGTCTCCTCAAATACAGTCTCATTCTTCCATGTATCCTTAGTATCAAGCATAGTCTGGCACAGAGATGTTCAAGGTTTTGCTATAGGAAGGGAATTAAAACTGGGAGATAAGCAGGAAGTATAACCTAAAATCCCAGTACACAGGAGGTTGAGGCAGAAGAGATCAAAGCCAGCCTAAACTGTCTCAAACAAAAGCAACAAACTAGGTATGTTGTAGAGATGTAATTTTTTTTTTCCTTTTGGTGGAACCAGGGATTGAACTCAGGCCCTTGCGCTTGCCAGGGAAGCGCTTATTCTACTGAGCCATCTCCCCGGACCCTGTAGAGATGTCATTAACAGTGGAAAGGTCAATCTACAATAGATTACTAGTTTACTCCTGATCCTAACACATTCCCTGACTCACAAACTGGCTACCTACTACAGGTTATCGAGGAACGCTTTGGACCCAATGTAGTGGCGGTACCTTTCTTGTCAGATGCAGCCTTCTATGACCTACTGGGTGTGCTAGTGAAACAGTCCCGGCCAGCCCATACCCGCCTGGTTTTGCCAGGCCGGCAGGGCCGAAGGGCCCTGGAACCAGTGGGACCACTACCAACCCTCCTAGAACAGGCAGGATCTGAGGATGCCTTTGCCCACTGCACGCGGGAATACTCACCAAATGGCCGAGCAGAGGTAACCTATGAAGAGATGCGACTGTTGGATGGGCAGCCCTGCCGGATCCGCCTACATACAGGTGGCCTGCGCAAGAAGGTTGCTTTCCTGCTGCTGCCACCAGGGCAGGTGAGCCTACAGCAGACTCTTCCCTGGCTCCGAAGCACCCATAGCATCTATGTCATCTACCAGGTCTTCTCTTGCTCCTGGCTGCAGCTGGAGCTGCTGCCTACAGCCAAGGAGCCCCAGCTTCTCCGGTTACAGCGGTCACTGCCTGTTGCCTTCTCCTGCCTCAAGTTTTCACTGCAGCCCAAAGGTGTTCTGGGACCCCAGAAACCTCTGACCAAAGACCCACTACCCCATGGAGCCAAATGGATCAGACCCAACCTAAGCATCATGCTGACTCTGGCCCCATCAGTACCTGCTGATGCCCCTGAAGCTGCTGCTGGGCCCGCCTCTGTCCCAGCCCCACCTACACCACCTCCCCAGGAAGGGCCAGAAAGCAGACCCACCAGGTTCTCCCACAAGGGCCGAAACCTATTCCGGAGGGGTCCCCAGATGCTATCAGGTATTACTAGAGGAAATGATGAGGTCATGGGAGGGACATAGTGGAGAGGGGAGGGAGTATGGGGAGTACAGGCAGAGGACATGTGGGGCACCCAAGACCGCACACCCCTGGTGAAGGGGTGGCACGAGGGATCCAAGGGAGGGTAAATCAGAAATATGACCCTCATATAGGGTGGGGGTGGCAGAGAAAACCAGAGGGCGGGACTGAGGAATCAGAAAAGACTACGGCATGAGTCAAGCTGTGACTATCCCAACCCTGGCAGAGAACTGGCTCTTCAGCCCCCACAGCCCCCCACCCGGACCCCAGGGTGGGGGCCCCGGGGACCCAGACCGGCACTCCATGTCCCTGCCCCTGCTGCAGGGTCTGTCCTCAGAGTTCGACAGCGACGAGTGAAGTTGGAGTGCAAGATGCAGGGGGCAAGGCCCCCAAGGTCTGGCAAGGGATACTGGTCCCCAATAAACATCAGCTGCTGTTCCCCTAAGCCATCCTGGGCCCACACTGTTTCTTCCTTCTGTGGTCCAGAGGCAGGGGAAGAGTTCCCACTTCTTGCCCTTGGCTTCAAGTTCTCTCACCCTCTAAAAGCAAAAGAGATAGCTTGAAACCTCTGCAACAATGTCCTCACCAGAGAATACTGATAACCTCTTCAGCTATGTACAACCATTTTGGGGGGCCCAGGCCCATAGATAAAAGGGTAGGATAAAAGAATGAGCACAGAATAGAGATTTCCCTTTTATACATATTGTAATAAGTTCTCCATAAAACATTCATCTGAAATAAATTAAAAAGTTCTTTTGCCACTGCCTCCAAACATAAAAAGGAGCCTGTGCCCTGGCCTCGGCCCAGGTCACTTACGGCCCTGATTGTCCATGGAAGAAAATTAAGGATTGAGGGGCCCAAAGCCTGAGATGGGAGGGCCAGAGCCCTCCTCTGAAGTATCCAACAAGAAAGGCGAGGTGACAGCATGGGCTTGGGAGATGGCAGCCAACTCCTTGAGAAACTCAGGGAAAATGACTGCACAGTAGACAGCATTCTTGACTCGCAGAGCCTCACCTTGGCGCTCAGGGGCCCCACCCTTGGGAATCAAAACTGGAGTTGACGCCCCAGGGGAGCCCCCACCTAGGCCAAGTCCAGCTCCATCGCGCCCAGGCTGAAGGACCTGCGTCGCCTGCCGGGCCCTTGTTGGACTGTGTGCATGCCGCAGGAGTAATTCCCCCAAGGATGGCCTCCGGCTCTTCACTGGGAATAAACAGGTGTATCAAGAAGGTGCTGGCATCAGAGAACCTGTCTGAGTTTGGGCAAGCAGATTCTTCCACTCCCCTAGGTTCCTGGACTCTCTATAGGGTTCTAAGAGAACAAGAAATGAACCCCAGGTTCCATGTCTTATCCCACAATGAAGACAACCCCAAAGACTAGAGGGGAGGTGCTCTTACTCATTCTAACATCAAAGCCCGGCCCACCTCGCTATCCCATCTCTCCTACCTCCCCTACCTCCCAACCAGGAAACCATCATCCTCAATCCTAACATGCAGCATGAGCCTCCTCGTACCCAGCTAGGAGCCTGTACTCTGTGCTGCCCTCCCTCTGGGGACTTCTCTCGTTCCAGTCATTCCTCTATCCCCACCAAGACACTGCTCCTCTGTCTACACCATGCCCTGCGTCATCACCTTTCAGAATCAGTCAGTCATTTAACCATTCCTTCCCTGTAAGACCTGACCCAGGCATCCTGATCCTTCAACACAGCGACTGCACGTTAATCACAGTTCAGGGACTACTTCATTCCTGTCATTGTCCACCTCCAAAATCCACTTTCCTGTACCATCACTTCACAACTCCACATTAGCTTAGACTCAAGCCACTTGAAACTCTTAGTCTTCTTTTCTGGTACATTCCTGAGTCTGAACCCATGACCACTACACAGCCTACACTCAAGCCTCTAGATCCTAACAGTTTTTATTCCTTACTTCTAATTAGCTACAAAGCTACTCCACAGACATACCAAACTCGGCATTCAGAGCCCTTTACAAACAAGCTCACACTCCTCCAAACTCTTCTCAAATTCTCCAAACCCACCTGTTTTGCCACTCCCGGCTACCTGCTTGGAAACTAACAACATTTTGCTCTCCCTACATGTTTCATCCTTTCTGGCCTAATTTTACAACCTCAAATTCTCTGGGAAATCTACCATGTGCCCTCCACTATCTTCCTGCTTTATGTCCTTTTCTCAACATAAATAATTTCTCATGTGCTATACTTGAACTAATTTGTGAGCTAAAGATCTTAGATTGTGCCTTATCTATCTTCATATCCTTGGCACCTCCTGTCATCACAATGGTAGAGCTATAGAAGCAAGCCACCACAATACTAATCCATTAAGAAATCATGCTAAACCCACACTTTTCTCCTTAAATCTCCACTTTCTCTCTGTTCTCTCAGCATATCATTTTGCCACCTACCTGGATAAGCAGAGAATGACCTGAAACCCTTATCATCCCTTACCACGCTTCACAACTCCACTGGTACATGTCATTTCCACCTTCATCTCATTTGCCCCAGAGGATGAAAAAATAAAAAAACCTATTCAAGTCCAAAGTTAATCTCCTTCTGGTCTCTCAATCTCAACACTTACCACTTCCAAGACCTGGCTCCCCCATGACTCAAGCCCTCTAGCCACTCTCCAGAATGTACGCTCTGAAGGCCAAGATCTCATCTCGTACCACTCAAATGCCCTGTACCAAAAACAATGACCATAACATTCATGGTCATTTTGAATCCTCCCCTCTTCCTTATCCACTCACAACTCACCATATTGTATCAGTACTTCTCATTTCCACCTTACCAAATGCTTGCTTCCTTTTCCACTATTCTAAATGCACTGGTCACATTTGTATTATGAAAACAGGCTCTGGACTGTTCTTCCGGATTCCTCTTCTAGTTCTAATTCATCTCCACCAACTTACTCATTTCTCCACTCGCAGATTTAAAAACCCCCAGTGATTTCTCACTGCCTACAAGATCACAACTTCTTCCCACCCCAACTTCCACTCTGAGACACTTCTGCTCTAGCCAAATTTTTTCAGCCTTAACAACAATACTGTTCAGCTGACATTTAAACCCTGGTCCACCTAGACAGTCCCAGGATGCTTCCTGACCAAAAAATAAACACCTTCCACACCCCTGCCTGCCTAAGCCTAACCATAGCAAATATCACACCCTTCACTGTTCTCACAATCTGTCAACCTAGAGACTCTCTGTCCCCTTGCCTGTCCCTAAATCCTGAAGCATATTTTGCTGATAGTGTTGGTTGGGCTCTTACTTGATAGAACTATGTTCTAGCCTCTGACTCAAAGCCTAAGAACAAATATTACAACTCCACTTTTTTACAGCTCTCTAGTACCTGACACAAGATTTCACCTTTAGTAAGAATTCAACTAACCTGAACTAACAGGCTATCTAGGAGGGCAAGGAGCAGAGTGATAGAACAGTCCTCACCTAGGGGATCAGAGCGGCGGGGGCCAGGTCCTGTTGTAGGACCCTCCGCCCAGTCCAACTTGCCACGGGCAATGAGGTACTTCTTGGCTTTGGATAGCAGTGCTGGGAAGTCCTCCTGGGAGGCTGCAAAGCTCTCAATCTTATTCTTCACAGAGCCCAGCACCTATGAAGCACAATTTCATGACATTCTTGGTGGTTCTAGACTATTATAGCCTTCTTTAGTCCCACTGGGCCTGTTCCCAGCCCACCCAGGGTCACTCCAGCTGCGGGCCTGGCCCACCATGGAGCCTGGACGCACCCATGCATGCATGCATCGCACACCTGCAGCAGGGACTTGACACTGGGCTGGAAGACCATGTTGGTGTTGAGCAGGAAAGAGCGGAGCAGGGGCTGGGGGTGACAGGCCAGCTGGGCCACCAGCCCCGTCAGCAGGAAGTTGACATAGACGGAGTTCTGCAGCATGTTCTCAAGTTTGGCAAAGAGCACAGCCATGAAGGGGCCTGGGAGGGGGGATGGGCACAAGGATACAAGGCCTGAACACAATGCACATCACACGCATTCCTCCCCAAAACAAGAAACCCCCACTAGATGAGAATATTTGTATGTTAGTCTCTGCATATGTTGGAATGCTGTGTAACCATCCTGGAGAAAGTAACATGGTGAGTACCACATGAACTCACAAGTATGTAGAGGCTGGCTTTATATACATTTGAGCTAAACAGCCAGACCTCAGGCTGCAGAACCACAGAGATCTCATTTTAGATTTCTACTTTACACTTTACTAGTTAGGTTACTCAGTAAAGTTCTCTAAGCTTTAGTTTCCTAGTTGGAAAAGGAAGGAGATACATCTACCATACAAGGGAATTAAGAGGACCAAAGAGATATCAATATAAGGTATTAAGTCTAACATCTGGCAAATTTTATGCATTCAATTATAACCATAAGCTATACAATTTTCCTCAGTTTTTAAAAACTGTCATCCAAGAGGCACAACAAAAGAATGAATAGGCAGAGAAAGTGATTAGGACTGAAACACAAAATCAGATTCCACATAGGACAGAGTAACACAAAATTTAGTCCAAAAAAAAAAACAAAGGAACCTTTAGCCAAGACAAAGGGGTTGTATTTAATGTTTATAGTTAGAGGAAATATCTTCAGAGGACCAGAAAAGACATAAGCTTTGTCTTTGAACAGCTGGGACCAAAGAGATAGACAGAACATATAGCAAGAGGATAATTTAGTTCAGGGGCACACTAAACTGAGAGTGGCAGAGAAGAGAAGAGATGAGCAGCACCCACAGGGAGAAAAACGTTATCACCAGCATTAGGACTCTAGAAACCACAGTCTTTTCTGATCAGGAATTTTTTCAAAGAAAGGTCACATATCTCAGAACTGAACTATGAATTGAGATAAGAAAACAATGAAGGGTAAGAGGTGGTAAATCCTGAAAAAGATCATAGTACCTCTTCTACTTCAGATGCTTGTAGGTTAAACAGAACTCTAGTTTGACAAGATCCTACAATAACCTATAACTTTATCATTTCATTCCATTCCTCTCATTACCTGAGGGCTTCTTGTAAGAGACAACTCATTCGAATTTACAAAGAAAAAAGCTTCAACTAATACTTTAACACTGGTTAATCTGTACATCACCTCCTAGTGGTACTGAGTAGAAGGACACCGAGTGGAGGAAAAATAAATGGAAAGACATTTACCACGATCTGCAAGAAGAGGAACCTGACTGTAGAGCAGAAGCTGCAATACAATACAAACAGGATCTTGAGTCCAGGAAAAACCTGGTCAAAATGGCACAGAAACTGAACATAACTAGACTATGAACAACTGGAAGATGGCTGGATGGTTCCCTTGGTCAATTTAAATCTGCCATGAACCCAAAAATGATAATCCTTGTGAAAAGCTGAAACTTGGTCAGATATCACAATATAACAGTACTATGGTAATTCATATCCATCAAAGGCAGAGACAAGATAGCAACTTAAGGTATGCTTAATCCCAATCCACATGATCTTTAGCTTCTATGTCGCTTGCCAAAATGTTTTTTATTTTCCTTAGCCCGAGATACGTTGTGAAAATTAGAGCCAGAGGCAGGTTAGGCTGGCTCTTAAAAACAAAGAGGCCTACCCACTTAGATCAGGTCTAGCTTCAGAAGCTCATGGAAAACCCAAAGGACTCATCTGAGGAGTTCAAGGCTATGCTTTGCCATTTGTCCCCAAGGGGTATTTCACTTTCTCTGCTGTGTCCTTACTACTAATCATATATCCCTAAGGTTGTCATACTAAGTGGCCACAGCAACCAGGAAAGGACAAGGATAGTGGACAACAGGATTCCTCCTTAAAGAGGCAGGGAGGAAGGAACTGAGTGGCAAGGATGACAGAACTGATCCTCTGATATAGGAGGACTGACAGAATACCTCACACCCTGACATACTGGTGAGAACAATCCAGAACAGAGGTTTATAAATACCTCCCACACATCTTCTACAAAGTTCAGATATATTGCTCTGATTCACCAGCAAACACCAAACAGAATTCCCTAATCACAAATCCCAGGAAACAGCCAGACTAAGGGAAAAGGAGGAACATGCACACTGGACAGACATGTAAGGCTCAAACATTAAGTTGACACTCAAATCAGCACAAGCACGGAAGACAAACAAATAGATGGAGTAGGACATGATATGCATCTGGTAGGGACCCAAGCAAAATGGATGAGGGCTAGGCACATACAAAGAAATGACATAGCCAAGAAATCTCAGAATCAGCACAAACATGTCAACAGCATGCAGAGCACACAAAGGAGAGCTCCTAGGCCAAGTAGCTTACCAGTGAAAGGCTGGCTCGGCAGCTGGTTGAGGGTCCGCAAAGGGCTGCTGAGGAAAGGGCCAGGGGGCTCAGGGGCACAGGTGAAGCTCTCATAGGCCTCCTCCTCCTCAAGAGGTAGCGGAGGCTCTAGAGGGTGCTCTGAGCCAGCTCCACCATTGCTCAATGCCACCTCCAGCTCATGGAGCTCCTGCCCAAAGCTCTCTAATCCTGCCACACCCTCAGAGGCACCCTCTAACAGTTCCCTGGCTCCCTGCTGTGGCACCAGAAGGGGCACCAGACGAACCTTCTTGGCTCCCTCAGGCCATGGTCCCGGCACTCCATTGAGCTGCGGAGGGGGCAGGTGGGCAGGGCCCTCCCCTACACTCCCAGACAGCCCCCTACTCCCCAGCTCTTCCTCCTCCCCTTTCCCCACATTGTCCCTGTCCTCCTCAGACAGTAGACTGCGTTTCTTAGTCCGGGAGCCAAGAGGACTGGGCTCAGGAGGGGGCCGCTCGCCATCATAGGGGGCAGACCAGGTACGGCAGGCTCGGACACAGCGGTCCACACCACGGCGCGCCTCACGCAGATACTCCAGGTAATTGTCTTCCAGCTCACCGGGCTCCTCTGCAGGGTTGGGCCGCCGGCCAGGGCTGGAGGCTGGGGATGCAGCAAGCCCTGGGGAACGAGGGGCTGGACCTGGGGACTCAGAGCCACCCAGGCTCTGTTGCCGAAGGAAGAAAGCCAGGCGAGATGGTGTGGAGGGCCGAGGCACTGTCACCACAGAAGAGGAATCAACACTTGGGCTTCCTGGGCCTTGGGAGGGAAAAAAAAATATGAGGAATCAAGGAGACAGAGGTCTAAGAAGGGAGACTAAGAGAAGAGCTAATAATGAGAATACAGAAATATAGAACCTATTTAATAGCTAACTCTCCAACCTCCAGGCTAACCTCTTATTCATCCACCGCTACCCTATCACTGCCATTAAAGAACAAATGAGATATAGTAAAACAAAGAAACTGAACATAAGGTTTAAACAACAAAGATGAGAGAAAGGAGAAAAGACAGGAAAAAAGGGGGAAAATAAATACAGGATGACTAAGACACTTGTGCTTTTTTGAAAATGGCAGCTAATCTATACTGCTCTCTATGTCCACTGTATGAAACTATGAACATAATATATTTTTATTTTATATAAAATATATAAAAAGATTTTTTAAAATTTCAAAAAGGGGGGGCTGGGGAGATGGCTCAGTGGAATAAGTGCTTCCCAGGCAAGCACAAGGGCCTGAGTTCAATCCCCAGTTCTGCCAAAAGAATAGAAAAATAAAAAATTTCTCAAAGAGAAAAAGAACAAGTAAACCTGGGGCATTTATAATGATAATACACGAAAAAAGTATGTACTAGATATATTTTTGAGCTTTTAATATAAATATTGATAGATATAACTGCTGGAATGCTGGAAATCTGCCTCTGAAAAATATCTAGGAGTTTTGTAGGGTTTTGCTTGATCAAAACTTGCTTATCTGTATATAATCATTTTAAGGAAATTTCTCATGTTGTTTTATAATGAAAGGTATGAAAAATTACATTGTACAGGAAAAAAGTGAAAATGGCAGTTAATGTTTAGAACTTTCACTCTAACTGTATGCTGACATCTGCACTGATATCTGCAATCTAAGCAACTACATTGAACACAACAATGTGTAATACAAAAACCATGGTTGAATACCTCTCCTCTTGGTCTTCTAAATGTGTACCATTTCTAATGTCTTATCAATTATTATTATACTCTTTAAAACAATTTTTTTTTCTGTATTTAGGACAGGGTCTACAGGGTCTCACTATGTAGATCAGACTCATAGTGATTCTCCTGTTTTCGGCTTCCCAAGTGCTGGGATTATAGATGTGTGCCACCACGCCCAGTCTCAATCACCATCTTAGCATACCCCATTGGCAGGGCCAAGATGGCACACTGGGGATCGAAGCCCAGATGTTCTGCTATGCCTAAGCAGGAGCTTTAGTCCGCTGAGCTATCAGGTCAGCCCTAAAACAATTAAAAAAAAAAAAAAAGAAAAGTAAAAAAGAAGAAAAAAATTAAAGTTTATTGAAAGCAAGCATTAATATTTAACTAGTAATCCAATCTTGCATAACTATGTTAATCTGAGCAAAGATTTGACAATAAAAATATGTAACGTAACAACCATTGTTTTTTTTTTTGGAAGCCAGAAGATGCTTTGAGGGCATTTCTGGTTTGGCTTGAGTATCTGGGCCTGAACCACAGCATCTTGAGCATGAGTGCTTTGTTTAAGCAGGCACTTAAACAACTGAGTGAATGGTCAGGCACCCCAACTATTGTTAATTTGCTATTCTTGTTTTGAAAATCTGTAACATGTATTGTTTTATGTTACCCTGTTTCTGTCTTTGTTTCTGCTATTTGTGTTTGCTTTTGTTTTTACTCTTCAAAATAAAACAAAATTAAATTAAATTAAAATTAAAAAGTGAACAACTGAAAACAAAGAGCACAGGACTGAAGAAAAGAACAAGGGGCTGAACCTGGGGAGTCAGGGCCACCCAGGCTCTGCTGCCAAAGAAAGAAAGCCAGACGAGAAGGTGTGGAGGGCCAAGGCACTGTTACCACAGAAGAGGTCTCCCTTCTTAGACCTCCTGTCTTAGACCTCTGTCTTCTTGATTCCTCATATGTTTTTTTTCCCTCTCAAGGCCCAAACTGTTCACCAAAGGACATTTGCAACCCACACTTCTCTAAAGTTAAGGATCCTTCTTGTGAAACCTCTCATCAACCCTCCCAGGTAGTGTCACTCATGGTCACCTCTCTCCCCTCACCCTAGCCCATCTCTTTGTAGGGTCACCCAGAACCCAGGCCATACCCGTAATGTCCTCCCTTCTCCCTGCCTCTCTGCTAGGCCCACCTCGTGCCCACGAGGCATGCTCTGGACGAGGTGGGCTAGGGGCCCCATGCCGACAGCAGCGTGGGATTAGGGAGAGAAACTTGTCAGCTGCTCGTCCATAGAGATCCACATCACGTACAGCTGGCTTCTGGCTCAGCATCACATGGTTGCATGGAACAAGGTACCTGGAAAAGAACATAAAACAGACACAGGATTTAACAGAAGGAAAGTACCTGAAAGAAAGCTGGCCAATATAATAAAATGGCTAAGCCCTGCTCTAGGAGGATACTCACAAGAAACCCCAATATAGCCCATCAACCCAGCAATGTACAAGGCCCTGAGGATTAGCCACCCCTCAGCCCTGCCCCCACAAGTACCTGAGAACCAGCTGCAGCAGGACATCCTCACAGCTGAGGTTCAGGAGGGTCCTGAAAAGACTCAGAGAGACCATGCAGAGCTGGAGGATGGGGGAAAGAGGGAGTCACTGTAAGTTCTCTCTACTCTCCAAACTTCACCAAATGAGAACTTCTCCCCCAGCCCCAGGTGCAACCAACTATCCAATGCACAGGGCCTGTCACACAGTAGTCCTTCAAGTAGTAACTAAATGATTATGTGACCTTTTCTGGTATAAGACTGCACTATTAGCAAGCAAAATGGACCATGTGTTAGACCCAATGGATTTCCTGAAATCATACACATAACACAGACTCTCTGGGTATAGATGCTCGTCACATGAGACTAATAATACTAGAATGAAAGACCAAGAAAACGGACACTGAGAAATACTATGACCAAGTGAATGACAAACAGGGAATAGCAGCAGCAGACTAAGAAAGTGAGTGCCTGTCAGCAGGGACTATAGCAACAGCACACTAGATGCCCACCAACAAGGACCCAGAGGGAGCCTGGAAGAGTCCCAACAGGGAAGTGGGTGGGGCTGTACACAGGGACTCCAAGTCACCTCGTCAATCCCAGTGTGTCTCAGAAGGTAGAATAACAAAAGCTCTGGGACAGATAACAGGAAAAGGAAAAAGTAGGTGAGTTGAGATTAGGAGAAATTCTTTGTTTTAAAAAAAGGAAGATAGCATGTTAACCTCCGGCTAGAAGAAAAAACAAAAAACAGACACTGGTAATTTTCCCTCACTCCTCCGAATTCTCACAGTATCTTCTCTACACTTTTGGCAAGTATGTCAGATACCTTGCACTCCCTCAAGACAACTAGTAAGTTACAGTCTAGGGGTTAATTGTTTGCTAATAAACTGTGGGAGAATTAAAAGTCAACCATACTTGTACAATTTTGCCTGTTATACAGGGTGTGCTAATTATAGTGGTATGTGCACAGAACATTTTGGCATGACAAGAAGCTGAATAAAGCTATTTTACTTAAAAAAAGAAAAAAAGTCAACCACAAAGCAGGAAAAAGATGAGATGGCAGTTCACATTTTGGACAGCACAGTTATTCAGGGAGCTTATCCTAAATGAGTACTTTAATTAGCAATAAAGAATTCAAACTCACTGAAAACAATATGATAGGCAGAAAAGTAGTACTTCAAAGATGTCCACATCCTAATCTCCTGAACCTGTTAAATAATTACCTTGCATAGTAGAAGAGACTTTGCAGATGTGATTAACTCTACAGAATTTGAGATGGGAAATTCTCCTACATTACCAGGTGGGTCCAACCAAGCCTCAAGTCCTTAAAAACAAGTGAACCTTTACCAATATGCAAAAAGGAAAAAAAAAAAAAAAAGAATTAGAAACCTGAAACATAGTAAGAATGTAACCCTCATTGTTGACTGTGAGGATGAAAAAAAAACCAAGAGTCAAGCAACCTGGTGGGCTCCATGAGCTAGGAATGGTCTTCAGTGCACAGCTAGCAAGAAAATAACAGTTCTCAGCTTCACAGCTATAAGCAAATCAATCCTGTCTCCAACCCAAGAAGTATGACCTCCAGAACTATAAGATAATGGCAATTTATTATGTCAACAATAGGAAACCAGCCCAGGTAATCAGGCATACAGACAGACTAGTCAGAATGATTCGCTTCAAGGAACAATACATTGGGTATATGAGTTACAGCGAAGCCAACAATTTCAAGTTTGAAATTACCATACAGTGAAAAGGAGACCATCCACATGTCCAGCACAAGAATCCTGCAATCAGAAGAGATCATGTTTCTCCAAGAACCATGAATCAAGAAGAAATACCCTCAAAATACAAAAGAGTTCTCAGATCAAAAGACCAAATCTTATCCTTAACAAAGATAAGATTAAGACGAAAGAAAGCTTGGGGGCGCAGTTGTCAACCTAAGAAAGGAAGTCAACTATTGCTCAATATGAACAAGACAAGCCAAAATGTCAAAGAAACCTAAAACTATCATGTAACTTCAACATAACGAACAAAACTCTGCTGTTATCAGTTATCTTTGTAAAATAAAACTTTTACAGAGTCAGAGACACCTCTCCAACTTCACGTTTACATCAATAAATCTTAATTCAAAGCATATATTGTGATTGCTTTTGAAGACTTTACAAACTTCTACCGAGAACTGTATGCTTCAAGAGATCTGAGATCTTAGAACCTGCTGTTGTTCAGTTGCAAGATGATTGTGAACTATACACCTGGTTCAAAAACACTGGCCAATGCAGTCAGTCTGCAGTACTTCTTATAACCCTACCTTGGCTATTCAGAAACTGCACCTATACAAAGCATAACTATCTAGAAATCTCACTGAAATGAAACTATACTACCAGATACCTTAATTTTGGAACAGTTTTCCAGAACTTTTTGCTGTTACTGTTTTGATTTCTCTTGGTACAGGGAATTGAAACATGTTGAACAACACCCCAAGTCCTTTTTTTACCTATTTTTATGTTGAGCCAGGACCTCACTAATTCAACAAACTGCAAAGATTGGACTTGAATTTACAATCCTCCTGTCTCGTCTTCTAGAGCTAAGATTACCAGCATACACCACCAGAACTCTTAACAACTAACAACTTTTACTTAAACACAAGGATCCAGGAAACTTCAACTATTTGTAATTAAAGAAGGAAGTAAAAATGGGTCTCACAGCCAAAATAAATGCCATAAAATCCACAGCTAAATTAATGCTTTATCCCCCTAGAAAAGCCTACAAGTCTTTACTACTTGGAATCTATTTATTCCAATTTTATGTACACTTCTATTGGTTAAAATCTTCCTACCCTGAGCCACAAGACCATGTACAATTTGAAAAAAAAAAAAAAAAAAAAAATTGGCTGTACTAGAGATTGAACCCAGGCCCTTCATACCCACTCCTTTTTTGTTTTTTGGGTTTGACAGGGTCTCACTAAACTGCTAAGCTGCCCACACTAAGCTCAAACGTGAAAGTCTCCTGACTCAGTCTCCCAGAGTGAAAGGATTATAGGCATGTACCACCATACTGGGACCAATCTATACCTTACCTACCTCTCAATTTTCATCTCATTTCCTTCTTTCCTTTGTTCACTACATCTCTAATTATACTGGTCTTTTATCTTAGAAAATACATTAACCTTTTACCCTAGTGTCTTTTCCATGTTCTCTGTCTAGACTGTTCTTCTCAGTATTTACCTAACTCCTTCACAACCTTTATGTCTCAGCTCACTATCACCTTCTCAGAGAGGCCTTGGCCATACTACTATTTTCTAAACATACTTTTTTTTTTAACATAACAATGACCACAACTTTTACTTACTTTATTAACCTTCTTACTGGCCTATCTTCTCTCCAGAAAGTCAGTACTAATGTCTACCAGTAACACTGTCTACCATTCTAACCTCAGCACCACCAAATGACATGGCATATAGCAAACATTAAATTAAAATGCATAGGAAGAAGGCATGTAAGAAGATAGATATGACAGTTCAAATGCAGCAAATGCAAAGGGGAAAGAAGTAAGCATGCTAGTGACACCTAGATCATGGTACAACATAGACAGAAATCCACAATGACCTCAAGTCCACCACTGCATATCAGAATGATAAGTGGTTAAAAGAAACTCAGGGCAATATTACATTATAGGCATTGCACAACAGTAAAACACAAAGTCATGATGAGCAGTCATACCAAAAGTAGTAACTGGGTTCTATACTAATGTAGTAAATTTAATTTTGTCCCCAGAATGAAAGTTTAAGGCTAGAAAATGTCACCTAATTTTGAAGTAACTGAAAACCAAAGAGGAATAGAAACATTCTCTGAAAACAGGTCAGAGAGAGATTGCTCACCTACATAAGCCAGTACAGAGCTAAGGGCCATACCCGGGAATTGCTGCCAATACGGGCAACAAGGGTGTCAAGGATGGTGTGGGTGTCATGCCGGTGTAACAACAGGAATCGCAGGAAGGTACGGAGCAAGGCAGGCTCTGAGATACTACGTAGGAAAAGTTCCAGATAGGCGGTACTGGCGATCATCTCCTCCACGGAGGTCTAGATGACAGGAAGGAAAGTTTGGAAACATGAATTTCCTGCACATTGGAGAAAGAACCAGAAGACAGGAAAAAGATGGAGCACTCCGCCCACTGCATCCCACATTGGCCCTATCACTGAAGTTACCACCCTGCAGGCTGGCCCCAAAATGCCATGCCAACTGTAACTCTGACCTTGTGCAGGGCAGGCCCCATGACAGGCACTAGGAACCCATTGTGGATATAGTCAACCAGCTGTTTCTGCACCAGAGGGTGAGCCACCTGTAGCAATAACAGAGAGAATATATAACAAGTGAAGGCATCCTATCCCCAACATGCCAGAGCAGCATGCCTCCAGGAATTCATCCCTTCCCACTTTCCAAGAATGACCAAGGACCATACCTCCAAAGAACCCCAATCCTACCTGAATGACTGCATTGCAAAACTCTAGGGAACTCATGAAGAGTGCAAGAGCCGGCACGCCTACCCAGTCTTCCCGTCGCAAGCAGTGCCAATCATCCCCTGGAACTTCAATCTTTCGGGGAAGTGAGGAGTACAGGGCACTTAGCCCTGTGGCCAGCACCTAGGGGAGGTTATCAAAGGCTTAGAAAATGTCAAGATACAGATATTGTCAGTCCAGAACTTTAATGACAGTGAAGTTAAGAGATGTTACCAAAGCAGATATTTAGTTACTCAATGTGCCAGGACCTCACAGAACACTGGTTCACAAAAACATTAGTACATTTCCTAACTATTTAGGCACATGTTTCATACTCATTCCAAATCCAAAGACTGCTTTCAAATCTAGGACTTACTTTCAGAAGGTGAGTATCCTGGCACCAAACCTTTCCCCATCTCCTGAATAGGAAGGTGCTGCCTGATATACACATGCCACACCCAGCCTACCCCCCGCCCATACCAGGGGCTGCTAACCGGACAGAAGTAAGAGTGATCTGCGATGTAGCGGCCCACAGTGGGGCTCCCCGCTGACAGAGCCATGAGCAGAAGCAGGGCATCACGGGCCTGCTGGCCCAGGGTGCCTTCTCGATGGACAAAAGGGACAAGGCGAGAAAAGAGGAGAAGACGTGGAGCAGCTCCTGGCTCAGGAGGTGGTTGCAGGAAGAACTCAAGCAGAGAAGGCTCCCGGGCCACACACACACAGAGCTGGCTGAGAAGTAGCACCAGGCCTTCATCTAGTGCTGAGCTACTAGGCCCAGGGCGGCCACAGGCATCCAGGAGAATGAGCAGAGCCTCACGAACTGGACCATGCCGTAACAGGGGTTGACGAGCTTCGCTCACTAGCATCTCAAATAGTTTTAATTGTTCAGCACGTCGTTCCTCGACTCCCTCCCCAAGCTCATCCCATTGCAGCTGCCATGCCAACACACGGGTCAACAGATCTTCATTCAGAGCAAATTCCAGCAGGGGCCCGGGAACTGTGGGGGCTGAAGGGACAGCATGATCCTCTGCCAGCAATGTTAACATCTGGTAGGTGTGGTTGCGCACAGCACTGAGATCATCTGCACCTCCAGGAGCTACCTGAGGGCCATGCCGCTCCAGGATCCGAACCACCTGGAAGAAAAAAATGCCAGAATGCAGAACAGAGAAGGTTAGCACAACTCAGGGGATCAACAAAGTAGGCAATTCTGGAATATGGTCTCCTACCTGGGACCAGTGATTCTTGAAGACCATGAGGCAAGTCTCGGGGTCAGCCATGACAGGGGCCTGAAGACTGGCCCCTGGGGGCACACGGTGTCCAGGGACCCGGGAAGCCAGCCTGCTCAGCCAGTTCATCCTCTCCATGAGGCAGGCTGGGCAGGGCCAGCAGCCAGAGGGTCACACTCGGAGGATATGCCAGCTGGAGGCTTTCTCCACTTCGGTCTCCAGTCTGCTTCATCCGGTCTGTAGGAGCCAGTAACTGACCATGGAGTCAGAGATTATACCAGACTGGAATAACAAGCCCAGAGTGCACTGCCCAGGCCAGACTTGCAAATCTAATTCAAGGAGAGAGAATGGAAAAGGTAAACAAGATTCCCTCTCTTACATGGAGTAGGAGGCACTCCTGGCCTCGGGTTCAGGAAAATCTCCCCAATTAATGTTATGAAGCTGATTGTTACAGTTTATATATCTAGATGTCCCCCTAAAGCCTCAAGTGGTTGTAGGCGGACCTTTGGAAAGCACCTGGATTATAGGCTCATGGTAGCCAACCTACTGTTAGGAGATGCAGCCTGTTCAGAAGAAGCTGGTCACTGTGAAAGAGACGCAAAAGGTTCTATCTCCCCTTCCAGCTCCTCCCCTGCAGCTCTCTGCCTGACTTCTACCATGGCATGAGGAGCTTCTCCTCTGCAATATCCCCGTGCCATGCCATCCTGTCCTGGAGCCAGCTAACTTTGACTTTGAACTGAAATGAAACCTCTACAAACTGGAACTAAAATAAAACTTTCTTCCCTTTAAAAGAAAAAAACAGCAAACATTTTGAAAGTAATTAATTTTTTTTTATTCTTTTGTTTCTTTTGAATTTCTTACAACTTTGTTATTGTTTTGCTTTGTTTTCTTTAAACAAATTGTGCATGTTTACATCTGGTAGCCTGAGCAACTAATTTGAAGATAGCATTATGGAATATAGCAACCACTATTGAACTCCTATTATTTTGTTTAGTGAAATTGATTCGTTTCTAACACTGTTTTTTTGCTTGTTTATTTTTTCCTATCACTATTCTGTATTCTTTAAAAGTAAAAGAACAGGGCCTGCCAGATAGCTCAGCTATCTAAAGCACCTGGTTAGGTAGACACAGGGACCAGGATTCGTCCCCGGGGTGCACTGAGACAGTGATTAAGACTAGGCATGGTGGTGAACACCTATAATCCCAGTGCTTGGGAGGCTGAACACAGGAGGACCACTATGAGTCCAATCTGTGTAGTGAGACCCTTTAGGCCCTATACTAAATACATAAAGTAAAAAATAAAAATTAAATTAAATTAAATTAAACTAGTTGTTGCACACAAAGAAAAAGCTTACCTCTCTTCACCCCCTAGCAGGAAGAATGCAGAACCACCACTCCACTGAGTGTTCCACTCATTTATACACATGTACATGCACAGCTAGCACTGGAAACTTAGCATGCTAACATAAAATTCATGCTTTCTACCCATCAAATCTATTTCTCTAGCCTTTTCCATCTCAGTATCAGTAATACCAATATTCTCCTACACGTTTACTGTAGTCATCATCAAAAGCCTGTGCTTCATTCTTGTTCCTCCTTTTCCTGAAAATTTCTGGTTCATCAGCAAATCTTATCATGTCCATCCTCAAAATACATCTCATTATTGCAGCTTCTAGTCTACTTTCACGCTTTTATTCTTACCTACTGAAGAGTATTAGCTGCATAGCAAGCCGGGAAATATTTTTAAAACATAAATTACATTATAGCTCCCCTCTGTTGAACATCCTCCAACAATTTCCTGTCATACTAGTAACGATCTATGTTCTTTACCTCAACTCCTTCTTAGAGACTGTATGATCTAATCTGTGTAACTTCCTATCATTCCCTTCATTCATACTTCAGTCAAGAGGCTTTCTAGAATATTGTACTTTCTGTTCCCTCTGCCTGGAATGTTCTCTTGGTCTTCACACTGTTCTCACTGCTGTTTTCAGATGTAATCTCCTCAGAGAGGAATTGCCTAGCAATCTGTCTAAATAGTTCATCTTCCCACCTTCACTCCAGCTTCCCAGTTGTATTGTCTTAACACTATCTAAAATTGTTTATTCATCTTTCCCACTAAAAAAAATTAGCTCTTTGAGAACAGAATACCTCTCATTTTTACTGCTGAATCTCCACTATCTATGGTAGTATCCGGGACCCAGCACATACTTGTTCATTAATAAATGCTTAAGTGAAAAAGAAATAAACATCAAACTAGTTGTTGGCCACAGCCCAGTTTCATCACACCCAGAACCTCCTCATCAGTACTGTCTCTAAAAAGCATAAAATCTTCTTGGGAAAAGTAACATTCAGTTATCCTTTCTCTTTACATAAAAAAAAAAGAATGAAAAAAAAAAAAGAATGAAAAAAAAACCAGAAACCTAACATCAAAAGCAGGCTGAGGGCTCATATTATACTGACCAAAGGTTACACTAGCCAACACCTCCTTTCACCCAGATACTTTCTCACAATTACCAGATCACAACTAAAGGAAAGTAGCAACTATGCTAAAGAGAAGGTGACATAGGATGGGCGGACGATATTAAGGCAGAGTTTACTCACTTATTAACTCGATGTATATCTTTGCAAAGTACTAGAAATTGTGCTAAACAAGCAATGAAAATACAGAGACTTAAAAAAAAAGAAAGCTGGGAGAGCCTACATATATATGCCAACAATATAAATGGAAATATTTATGAAACCTGGTTACAAAGCTGTCAAAGGAGCATGAAGGGAAAGAAATAAATCTCCTTAGGCTGCTGAACAGGAGTTCCAAAGGTAGCAAAGAGGTAATATGTGACTTAGGTCTTTAAAAATGAGGTACTGGTTATGGAGAAAGCAAAGGCAAGGCTTCCCCTCCCCTTGGGATAGGGTCCCACTACATGGCTCAGGCTGGCCTCGAACTCAGCTTGAATTGTCAGACTGGTATCGATCTTGCAACAATCCTCTTACCTCAGCTGAACAAGTGCTGGGATTACAGGGGCACCACTATGTCCAGCAGTGTTATGTTTTCTTAATATTCAGAGCAGCATAAACAAAAATACAGTACTGTGAAAGAGCATGACAAATTTAAAGAACATTTATAAGTCTGGTGTGACTTAATCACAGACTAGAGAAGAGATGCACCATTTTGAGCTGAAGGGTAAATATAGGTGAGGGTTACAAATATGCTAATGGATGTAGCATATTAGATTTTATTTACTGACACCCTAAAAAAAAGTGTAGTTTTTAAACCAAAAAATGACAAGAACAATGCCTTTAAAAATATGTTAGGAAGCAATTTAAGGTACAGCAGAAAAAAGAGGGCAGTAGACAATTTATAAGATCTTTCAATAGATTTTTTTTTAAAAAATGTAATCTGAGATCTACCTCTGTATTAACAGGTTCCATTCAATACTAAAACTACTCAGATCTGTAATGTGTCTGCCAGTAATTTACTTTATAATGCCTTTGCTCTTGTGACAAGGGGCTGCTCATTCATTCTTCTTTGAAATTCCAGTGCCACAATATTGCATGGCATTCAAAAATGTTTGTGCAAGTGAAATGTTGACTTAATTATAACAGCTAACATACTATGCTAGCTATGCAAGCTAACATAATTATCACTTACTATGTGCCAGGCCCCATTCTAAGTACTACATGAACTAGTTCACTTAAACTTCATAAAAATCCTATGCAGCCAGGCATGGTGGCACATGCCTAGAATCCCAGCACTAGGGAGGCTGAGGCAGGAGGACTGCTGTGAGTTCGAGGCCTGCCTATGCTACAAAATGTGTTCAGAGCCAGCCTAAACTGCACAGAAAAATCCTGTCTCAAAAAGACAAAAGAAAGAGAGCTGGCAAGATAACTCAGTGAACTAAGCACCTGCTTAGGCAAGCACAAGGACCAGGGTTCAATCCTGGCACCATCAGCCATGCCGAGCCGGCTATGGAGTCCAGGCATGGTGGTACATGCCTATAATTCCAGCGCTGGGGAGGCTGAAAGCAAGAGGATCACTACAAGTCTGAGCTGCATAGTGAGACCCTGTATCAAATTCATAATAATAAAAAAAGACAAAGTCCTGTGCATTCTACTACACTCATTTTACACACGAGAAAATCAAGGTCCAGAGAAAAACAAACTGCCCAGATATCTAGCAGGTAAGTGGCACAACTTAGATGCAAATGCAGCTAATCTAACAAATTAGTCACAAAATAAAAACAAAACCTGACACAATAAAGGAGAATAAAACTACATCAGTAAAAAATGCCACTAATAGACTAGGAGCACATATCAAGGTGAGTTATGTTTTAGAAAAGATGAGTACAGTTTGGGACACATCGAGTTTTGAAACACCTATGTGATATTTCATGACATCCAGAAAACGAGTAGAAATTGAGCAAGGGCTGAAGTGAAACCAAAACTAGAGATACAAATTCAAGTGTTACTAATGTATAAGTAACAGATGAAGCCATGGAAATAGATGAAATTATCCAAGGAAATCAGTAAATCATGAAAAGAGTTAAAGGTGAAATCCTAAAGAAAACCAGAATATAGGAAAGCAAGGAGTAGTCCTTAAAGAAGACTGTAAAAGTAGGAAGAAATAGTAGTAAGAAATAAAAGGAATAATGAGCAAGGAAAAGAAGTTTTAAGAAACTGGAGATCCTCTGGGTGTGGTGGCATGTGTCTATAATCCCGACACTCCAGCAGCTAAGGCAGAATGATTGCTGAGTTTGAGGCCAACCTGGGCCGCATACTGAGACCCTGCCTCAAGGGAACAAAAAAAAAGTAAAAAAGAAAGAAAGAAAGAATAAAATGGAAATCACCTGTACTGCACAAATCCATACAAAGATGTAAAATAAAGATATAAATTGGTCTGCTGCTCTTATCAAGTTTTAATAAACCTATGAAAGTACCATACCTTAAAATGAACAAGAGATATACTTTGTGAGATACACTTTCAGGAAATTCAGTAATACAGGGAAGGATGAAAATAGGTCAAATAGCTTATAAAACCTTTGGTGAGATGTAGTCAAGACAGTTTTTATGTTTTTGGTTTGCTTTGTTTTTATTTTTATTTATTTATTTTTTGTGATACAGGAGATCAAACTCAGGACCTCACACTTGCCAGGCAGGTTCTTACATTGCTTAGCTATTTGCCCAGCTGTTCTGTTTTGTGATAGAGATCTCAATAAGGGCCAGCCAGATAGCTCAGCTAACTAAAGCGATTGTTTAGGTAGAGTGCAGCTGCTGGGGTTCAATTCCCGCTGAGACAGCAATTGAGACTGGGCACGCTGGCGCACACCTGTAAT